AAACAGAACGCAATGATGGTGATAGAGATCGGGTTATCACTAGTTCGTGAATTGTCTGCGGCGGAGCAACACGACTCTTCACTGGCCGACGTATAGTTTGTAAACAAAATAAAAGAAATGAAGGTCACTTTAAAAATTCTTTCAAATATCATCATAGGAGGTGTGATTTTCAGGCTATCTATTTTAGTTATAATTTGCTACCCAAATCATCTCAAATCGTTATTAGAACAATTTCATTGTGAATTCTCAATTTTCCAATAACCTGAAATTTGAGAAGATTTTAATAAATGAATAATTGAATAACCTTAGATTTTGAATCATTTAAACAAATACTGAGTTCAATAAGGCAGACTTTTAATGGATTTTGGAAAATCACCAATCCAATATAGAGAGATTGTTTAAAAAATAAAAATCATCCCAAATCATAGATCCAATATCCCCCCCTAAATCTTTCGATAACATTACACACTATAGGAAACGTTAAAAATGAGAAAAAAAAAAAAAGAGTAACTGTATAATGTTTACTTTAATTCTAACATAACCTACAAGATCTTTAAATGTAAAACATTAACAATGATGTGTTGTTTCAAGATGATACATAACGGTAATAAGTATTATATCACAAAACATGCAAATACTAGCTGTATATGCTGTTTTTTTCTTCCTTTTAGAAACCCACCAAAGCTAGTCAAATGCTATAATTAGTTAACTAGAATTCAGTTACAACTTAACGTGTAAAATTCATTGACTAGTACGTATAAATATGTGCAATCGAAAACAAAAACAAGAATCCAAACCATTGATCAAAAGTCAATAAACAAGGAAGAAAAGATAAGAAAAATGGGTGGCCATAGAAATATGATAACTCTAATTGTGATACTATCATCGCTCTTGAACGTAGCATTGTCTCAAAACGGTGTAGTAGTGGGGAAGGATATATACAAATGGAACCTTTTTCCGACGATAAAAGTGTTCGTAAGAAACGATCTCCGAGGGTTGGTGCTGTACTCTGCTTGCTATAGTGGTGGGTGGCAGAAAAATCTTTATCACGCAGATTTTTTGCCTGGAATGACGAGGAAAATCTTTGAGTTCAGGAAAGATTTGTTCTTCTGGGGAGAAAATATACGTTACTGTGTATTTAAGTTTGGGGGTCAAATTCGCCGTTTTACTATCTATAGAGACCGCAGAGACAATATTATTGGATATCAGTGCAGAAACTGTTATTGGTCCGTCAGAAGAAATGGACTCTGTGCTCTTGATTCTCAAACCGGAAAATATGATCTTTGTTATTCTTGGAATAAATAACTCTACTTTTTTCTATTTATTTTATTTTTTCTAATAAAAAGTTATATTCTGTATGTTGCTAATTATAAACAGTTTACTCTATCAACTTATGTTCAAAATTTATGATTAATAATTAGCCAATTGGTTTTGATGGATCTGCGAGTGTGGTGTTGACTTGTTGGCTCAGAAGGTCTTTTACTAATACCAACCACTTCAAATCTAAAATATGATGTAAGTAAGTACATATTATGATTAATTAATTAAAATATATCAGTTCTAAAGTTATTAATATATAGAGATTTTTACTGTAAAAAAAATATATTGCACAACAGATTTAATTATTGAAGAAAATCTCATATAGACCATTTTGTAAGGACTGTCTCAAAAAAAACTCAAATTAATTTTGGTTGAACCGGTGATCGAACAACAAATTAAGTGGGTGAACTGGTGATCGAACGTGTCTTGGTTTTGATGTAAGTGGTCGGGGCGGCTTTAATTGGTAAGTAACGGTCAGATGTGTGAACGGTGGATGATCCGGTTATGATCGGTAAGGCGTACAGGAACTCAGTGTAGGCTCGTCCGCAGACAAGTTATACTCGATGGATTGCATTAGGTTTAACAAGGGTAAAACTGTAATCTGGGTGACAAGGAGCCGATATTGTTATGCGTTTATCCCGCCTGAGATGCAAAATTTGAATTTTGTTTCGGCTCACACATGTGAGAGAGAGAGAGAGAGAGAGCGTTGTTCCCTCGCACGTGCGACAGGGTTTGGATTTGTTTCCTCAATATAATCCCGCTCAGGAGACGACCTTCAAAGATTGCCCAGATCGTCACTCTCCCCAAGAAAAGCTCTCTCTTCTCTCTCTCTCTCTCTCTCACATTCTCTTTGCACAGTTGAAAGACACCGTTTTGGAAGAAGATTCAAAGGTACGATTATAACTTCTTCTTCTGTTTGGTTGAGTTTTATAGATGGGGTTTCAACGGTGTTCTTGTGACTCGATTTGTGAATTTGAAATGGCTATTTGAATTTGATTTTGCTGTGAGAGATAAGATCTGTGATCTTCGTTTCTTGTGATTATTTCTTTCTTTCTGTAATTCGTTGTGAGGCGGCTGATTGATTACTAAATGGTAAAACCCTAGGGTTTCTCTGGAGATTTTTGTTTTTCTTCTTCAGTTCACTTCTCTAATTGATTTCTAAATGGTTCTTGTTTCAGCGACGTTATCATAAAATGCCAGAAGCAAGAGACCGAATCGAGAGGCCAGTTGATTACCCGGCTATATTTGCCAGCAGACGCAGTCATGGTGTGTTACTTGACGAGCCAGATTCACGGCTTGGTTTAACTGATTCTCCGGTTCAGGTGAATCCTGTCCCTGGGTCAATTGGCCGAGGAGGATCTTTGGTTGGAACCGGCGGGACCGTGAGAGGCAATTTCAGCACATGGAGGCCTGGTAATGGCAGAGGTCACGCTCCGTTTAGATTGCCAGAGGAAAGAGAGAATATGACTTTGGTGTCTGCTACACGTGGAAGAGATCGTGCTTCACCTTTGCCTTCTTGGTACCCTAGAACGCCTCTACGTGATATCACTCATATCATTCGGGTAAATTCACCTGCTCTTTTATGTTGCCTTGTTCTGTATTTGATTATCAGTTTTGGTTAATTGTTTGAGCTCTCTTTGTTTTGCTGATTCTTGGCTCTTCCTCATTGGTTCTTGTAGCCCTCTTCTTGTGCTGATAGGTTTTTAAAGCGTTTTTGTTACTTAGTAATCATACCATGCTTGCTTAGCCTATCTGGTTAAGCTGAATAATAGATCTGTTGCCGCAAGGCTTGCATAGCCTGGCGATTTATTCTGTTTACACTCTTTGAACTACAGGCTATTGAGAGAAGAAGAGCAGCTGGGATGGGAGTAGACGATGGCCGAGATATTGAGATCCCAGCTCATCAACAAGTTGGTGTTCTTGAATCTCCAGTACCACTGTCAGGAGAACACAAATGCTCAATGGTGACTCCTGGTCCATCTCTGGGATTCAAACGAAGTTGCCCACCTTCAACTGCTAAAGTTCATAAGATGTTGCTTGACATCACTAAAGAGATAGCTGAGGAAGAAGCAGGCTTCATCACACCCGAGAAGAAGCTACTCAATTCTATTGACAAAGTAGAGAAGATTGTGATGAAGGAGATCCAGAAATTGAAGTGCACTCCTCAAGCAAAAAGGGAAGAGCGGGAGAAAAGGGTACGGACTTTAATGTCAATGCGATGATCCTTACTTAGGAGGAGAGACCAGACCAGAGATGTATCTGCACAGTGAGTACATCATCTTCTTATGATACCATAGAGAGACCACAGATCATCTTCTTATGATGATATATATATCTTCACAAGTTGGGTGATTTCTTAGACTTGGGTATCATTTTCTGATGATTTTACTAGAAGCGTCAATCATCTTGTGATGATTTTATAGGATAAGAAAATCATTGTTCAGATGATAGAGTAGTTCAGGAATCATCTGCTGATGATGATATCATAGGAAATATTGTTCTTTTCGATAGTCCACATAGTTTTGAGTCATCACTTGTTGACGATTTCGGCTTGTAGAAGAATACTATCCTTGTATTACTTTGAATAATTGTTGAGTTGTATATAGAGTACTGAATTTTGGTTTTAATGCTCGAAATTTATATCTCTCTAGACTTTATCTCGTTTCTGAATCCCAAGTTCTGCAAAGTAGTCACAAGTTTACGAACTCTCAATTTCTGAACAAAAAAAGGTTAAAAAGTTAGCAAAAATAATTTGATAGCAAGCACGTAACCTCAAATGTCTAAAGTCAGAATTGATGATAAGTATGATTTTGGCTTACAAGTGTTAGATCTGGTTCAGTTTAGAAATATAGTTTCTTCTTGAATTGATGATAAATGGTAGAGGCTCCTTGAAGTTCCAGGATCAAGAAACACCACAGTCCACAACAGAAGAAGGCGTAATATGCGGAGAGCGATGGGCTATAACTTTTGTAAACCCAAATTTGTCTTTTATCTTATTTGTTTATGGTCAATAAAAATGGGCTTCGTAGCCCAAGAAAAAACACCCAAAGCGGAACCCTATATATATATTACAGGATTGAATCTGCCGCCGGGAAAAGAAGCTTAAACGACGCAGGATCTTCAAGGTTGTGTTGCCGTATGTTCCCCGGATCTCCAGGGATGATGCTCTCTCCGGAAGAAGGCAAGATCGAAAGGTACCTGGGAGAGTTTCCCGGGTATCGATTCCTGGCAAACTCGGGTAATTGGTTCTTGGTGATAGATCGTGAATCCAGTTTATACATCATAGATGTGTTTAGCAAGGGAACGATGACCTCTCTTCCGTCTCTAGAGTCGATTAGGTCAAGTACTAGCATTGTCAAGCGTGTGGGTAATACAAGTTTTATAAGGGAAACTAGTCAAGGTATTTTCAAGGATCTGAGTAGAGATAATGTGAGGGGACTTTTGTGGGTAGACGAGAGTGGAAAAGACTATGTTGTGGTGTGGTTCTTCGACCTCTTTGGCCATAGTTATATAAGCTTTTGCAAGAAAGGGGATTCTCACTACACTGACATTCCTCTAATTAACCGAGACTTCCCTTGGTCGTATGGCTTTTCTGAAATGGTACTACGGGGTTACCATCTTTATCTCTACACAAGTCGTTGTTATGTTCGTCTTCTAGATTTGTCTGGACGTGAAGGTTTCAGGGACATCACCGAGGGTAGACCATTCCCAATGCTTTCTTGTCATGTTTCATGCGATTCGAGCATTGCCGTGACGACATCAGGAGAGGTTTTGTTGGTTGAGAGTGATCCATGCAATAGGAGCTTCTTCCGCATCTACAAGAAGGATACTAGTCTGGTAGACCCAGATGCCATCGCCCACACGGTTCTCGAGGTAGATTCTCTTGGTGGTGAGGCCCTGCTTCTTGACTTGGGTTTCACTGTGCCTGCTAACCATGCCCTTGGTATCGAACCAGATTCCATCTATTTCACCCGTCACTTCCGTCCCTGCCAATGCAGAGATCGAGACCTTGACATCTGTGTGTACAATCTTGCAACCAAGACCATCAAACGCTTTCAATTTGGCGACATGAAAATCATGGATGCTCGATGGTTTTTCCCTGTGAATTAGTTCTTGCTTTGTTTGTGGTCTTGTTGAAATTTCTCTAGTGGTGGAGAGCTCTGATGTTATTTATTTTCCCTTTTGTTTCTAAAAGAAACAAAGCTTGGAAAGTCATTTACACCAACTTGGGAGAAACAAAACGTTTTATTCAGTGAGAATGACAAGATAACAAGTTTGCGTTGCGCTTGATTCAAAGTTTCATAAACAGAATGAGAAGATAGCGAATTTAGATTATATCAGATCTTGGGACACTCGTTGTTTTAGGCAGCAATACATGTGATTCCTTTTCTGTATAATATTTGATCTAACTCGGTTTAAATTCATGCCTTTGAATTTTTATTAGTTAAGTATATAATTCATGACACAGTTTTTTTGCAAAATCAAATCAGATGGTTAGTCTTGGGAGCGAAGACATAAAAATTGACTTGGTAGAATTTGGATAACAAGCGTAAATGACCAGAGAACATAGTTATGTAAATATATAGAAGCAACACCAACTGAATCCAGTACCAAGAATATTAACAGTTAGATAGAGAAAGAAAAAAAGGAGTTTTCTTCGAAAATAAATAGATTCCAAGTGTCTGAAGGTGCCAAAATGAGGAGCTTTCAATCACCCAATGACATCTAAACACAATCACCACAATGACACAAGACAGGGAAAATATTCAGAGTTTGTCATCAGTTTTGGTGTCTTCTCTTTTTGAGGTTTTAGACAATAGGAGGATACTGCTTGGACTGCAGCTTCACCCTTTTCTTGTACTCAACTGGATCCTGCACAATCACCAACCCAAAGTCACAATCTTATGTTTCAAAACCTATTACAGAGTCTTTTGAAGTATTGGTTTTCAAGTGTACCTGACAGAAGAGATGATAACCATCAGTCTGTGCAGGGTCAGCAGGATTAGGCGTATCAAGTAAATCCTGAATACCAACAAGAATCTGCTTCACAGTGATGGCTGGTCTCCATCCCTATTGATATACATATAACAAAAGTGAGCTTGAGATAATAAAACTGGCTTTGCTCTCATGGAGAAAGGCAAAGAAAGAAACAGAAGAGAGTACTTACGTAATCCTCGTTAAGGATTGAGAGACAGACAGTTCCAGATGGGTAGACATTAGGGTGAAAAAACCCTTGAGGGAATTTGCATTTCGGAGGTTTGCTTGGATAGTCCTCACTGAAGTGCATCGTTAATGGAAAGAATCCACCTTCCCAATCAGTCTGCAGCAGGGTCAAAAATTAGCAATGAATAACAGTAAAAATTAAAATTAACAACTAACAATTGCTCTTGTACTAACACCCTTATTAGCCATGTCAAAAACCATATCCAAGATACACAGCAGAGTTCAGATTCAGTGTCATTATGAAGAAACAAAGTTTTATGCATCAATTCAGAACATCACAAAATAAAGATAAACATTTACTCTTCCTACTAAGCATTCATATTAGCATCAGAAGATGATAAAGATTCGAATTTTGAACACATATAAGCATCAGAAGATGATGACCAAAGACTTTACAGTCCAAAGCAGAAATATATGAAAATCATAAACCCTAAATTTTCAGAGTATTTTGTTTTTTTTGGATTCTATCTACCAATCAGAAGCTTGACACACAGAAGTAAAACAAGTAGGGGTATAAGAAAAGACGTGAACCCTAATTTCAGGGTTGTATAATTAGTTAAAACTTACCCCAGCTTTACCAGGTATAGTGCAATGCCACACCATTAGATTCACAGTACCATCAGGACCCGTCTCCGGCTTCGCCACAAAACCCTAAATTTCACCATCAACAGAAGGGAAAAAAACCCAATCAGGAATCAAACACAAAAAGCAATCAAAAGAAAACCCAAAAACCCAAAAATCAACACGAATAAGTAGTAGAAATATATAAACAAAAATCACGAACATGAGGATGATTCTTCCTCCACGACTTCCTCTCTTCAGCTAAACGACCACGAGCGATTCCACTAGCCATATCTCTCTCTCTCTCTCTAGAATCTCACTATCTCTGTGTGTATATATATCTTTCTCTTCTGATTTGGCTCTCTCCAATCTCTCTATCTCTCTCCTATATAATAACTTCCGACGAAGACAGAGAAAAGAGATTGGGGGAAAAAAGAAGAAGAGAAAAAGTATAAGATGAAAGGCATTGACAGATTTGCCCCTAAGTAAAAAGGTTAAGAAGGGGTTAATCGGAGTATCGTACGGTCCAGATTTCGCGGCGAATAAATGTCCTTTCGTCCTTAGCTCCTCCACTTTAATGGATATTGACCGGTCAATTATTAAAATTTTTAACCATCAAAATTAATTAAAAAAAAAAAAAAGACGTAAAAGAAAAAGTCAATGGATAAATGTGGCGTGAAACCTACGCGATGAAACCCCAATACAAAAGATTCTTTCTCATTATCGTATCCCATTTGTCACGTGGCCCATTACCATACTGGGCCCATTATCTTTCTCTTCTTAACTCTTAAGCTTCCTTCAATTATTCATCTTCATTCTTCTTAATGTTGTTGCCTTGTTTGTGCGTGTAAGCATCAGTATCTCATTAGTCATTTACCAGCTGCATAACATTTGTGAAACATGATATTTTTGGGTAAGGAAAAGGATTGTTCTACTAATCAACGAATGTTGCAGCAAGAAACCAAACTTTATTTATTTTATTTTTTTTGGACAAAGAAACCAAACTTTATTTAAGCCATACTTGTACAATTTCGTTTGTATTACTGTTCTTTGTGTTTGCTTTTTATTTTACCTATTATATTTAACTAATTCCAAATATGATTGTTTTATCCAACTGACGACAAAAAAAAAAAAAAAAGAAAGATTGTTTTATCCAACTTTGGATGTATTAGAAAAATGTTCTATTTCTTCTTGAAACTTGTAATAAGTTCTTTTTGAGCAAAAGACCGACCAAACCATTATCAACCAGTTATAAAACAAAAATAAACAAAAGAGGCAGAGACTATGACTAAATAACCAGAGAGACAAGAACATCCGAACCACAGAGGTACACACTTCTTTACAACTTTTAAACAAAAGTTATCAGGAAAAAAAAAAAAAGTCTTAATATTTTTAGAAGACAGACGAAGGCATCATAACCAAATTACCAAGGTAAAGAGTCATCATGACTTTTAAAACAAGAACAAACTAGCAAGCCTAGACGAATTTTTCTTTCAGATTGGTAGAAGCTTCTGCAGCTCAGAGCATGCAATCAGTTCTTGCAGGAAGCCTCCTGAAGAAATTGAGAGGAGGGGATGGTAGTCTGTATCTGAACCTCGGATGTCTCAAAACATAGATTCCAATCAGAAGAGCCACAACCTGGAAAGGTGTCACATAGAGAATAATTGCAGCAATCAAGCAGAACAAGACGAAGAGCGCTGTTGCACGCGGATCACGCCAGCTTAGCAACGACTGTAGCCTCTCTCCTTGAGTTGCAAGATCACCAACTACTGTTTGAATCCTCCCAGCAATACTCCTCAACCTGTCATACCTCATCCTAACTATGTCAGATGGCCGGGAAGTTGGAAAAGTGTCGAACTCTTCATCCAGCTCGTCGGGGTGGGCCGAGTCAGCGTGAGAGAGACGTGTGTCCATGTGAGGAGGATGCCTCGGTCTCCAACGGTAATACCAGACACCGATGAGGAAGAGGTAGAGGAAGATGGTAGGCAAGATTAGCTCGGGATAAAGCACAAGGATTATGAACAAAAGATGGATCAAGACTGTCGTGATCGGATTCTTCCAGTTGCAGATCTGTTCAAACCATTTTCCTACTGCGATTAATCCACTCAAAACTCCCATAATCCTGAAAAAGTTTGCTTTGCTTCTCCGCATACTCCACATGTGAGAACCCACATCAAGCATATACTCAACTACTTCTTTCCTTAGAGGAGGTTCTGCTCGGGTCAGCCTCATCGACACAATCTGAGTCGCTTGATGCCTCAAGTTATCAAGCTGGCTAACCGTTAGAGGATGGATGTAATGCATCTTCGGTAAGAGAGGCAGTGAGTACATATACATCATGTTCAGCAATGACGAGCAAGTGAATCTCACAGCCAAGTGAATTTCTCCCATTTTCTTGACTCCATTAGGATGGAGCACCAAAAGAGGGTATGAATGTGTGTAAACTCGATCAGTCTCGAGAGTAGAAAGCCTGATTCTTACCTTCCCAATTCTTGAATCTTTTGCTCCTCCATTCTTCTCAGCTCCATGGAGATGGCAGTTATCAAAAACGCCAACAGTAACCACCGTACACGGATCAAAAACCTCCCAAGTATATTGCTCATTCCATCTCGGGGTAAAGCTGTCAATGATTGTCCGAGTTCGAATCCATTTCTGCCCGTACTTTGCCACACAATATGCATCTGTGGTCCCCCTACCGTCTTTGGTTTTCATAGGCATCAGACCGGTCGCATTTAGTATCCCCAATTCGAGCACACCGATGTTAGGCTTCCATAGTTGCTTTGCTGTTGGTCTAAGATCACTGCTGTAATGAGTAGACTCATCAAGAACGTGATACCCTCCTTCCAAACAAATTCTCATGTGAATCCTGCTAGCAAATTTGGTCTCCTTCTTCTCTCCATCGACCATAATATGCTTCTCGAGGTTATACCACCTGCTGTTCACGGGTCTGTGGTCAAATCTTCTGTCCAAATGCTGCAGTGGGATTCCACATCTGCCTAAAACTTCATCTTTGTTTGGAGCAACTCTGTCTTCCACGCTGAGAATCAAAGGTTCCTCAAATGGCTCAGCCGCTACAAACATCAAATCCTCATTCCACATAGGATTAATAGTCCTGCTTTGCGATACTCTAGTCCTCAAGGCCTGGTTGCCCATAATTGCCTTCACATAAACCTCAGGATATCTCCCCTTATCTCCCGGTATCAAATCTTGAGCTTCAATAACATTAACCCTGAGGTACCATAGCTTAGGAGAGAGATAAACCTTGGAACGGATGTTGGCAAGAGCATCAGTCCCACTAACAGTTGCAGCATCAGAGTGCCAAGCTTCAGGGAAAGCTTCATCAGCTTGAGTACCAAACCAAACAGCAAGCATAAGCTCTCCCCTAACTTTATCACTTTTCCTATCCTCAAGCCTATACCATTGCGGAGCGAGGGGACTATCGGGAGGAACTCTCTTAGGCACTTCGTTCAAATCGAACACAACACGGCCAATCATATCATCTTTGACAACATCCTTATCCTTGACAGTAGCTTCAAGGAAAGAAGCTTGAATCCTATCTTTGGAAAAAGCGAAGACTTGGTTCCACTCAGGATTAGATTTCTTCTCGAAATGCCGTGTGGTTCCTTTGTAATTGCCAAGCTTAACCTCGACATAAGGGTCACAACTACCAGTCAGGTCCTTGCCAGGCAACTCCTTAGCCTTGACGACACGGACATAAAGATACTGCATTTGCTCAACAAGGTCATAAGTGCTAGTAAGCTTATCTCCAGAAATTTTCCCTCCACCGAGATGAGGTCTCGTCTCCTTCAAGGAGAAATCTTCAGGAGGTGGTCTCTGCATCTTGCAGACTTTGAGAAGATTTCACTACTAGAAACAAAGTTCCTTCACAGTTCAAAAAACAACAGAAGAAAAAAGGATCATCAAAACATTCACATACAGAACAGCTAAAAAGGGTAACAAAGAATAGACTTACAGATTTAATTGGTTATTATCGGGTGGATTGGAGGAGAATACAGCTTAACTTTCTCTACTTCAAATCACTAGATCTGAAACAGACAACACCATTTCAAGGAGAGTTAAGTGAAAAAACACCCACCCTGGGTTTTTTAGGCAAGTGAAAGAAAATGCAGGAGAAAAAAAAAAGGATAAAGTGAGAATGAAAGATTCCCGAATAAAGCAAGCATAGTATATTAAATTTTGCCTAGATCTCAGACAGAAACGAAACCTCGTTAGTATATCCGAGGCAGAATCATCTAACGGCACAAAATCATGAATCAAAGGGAAAAAAATAAAAGGTCATCTCGTTCAGAGTTAAACTTCATCGAGAGAAAACATTACTTAATTTATAATTTTTTGGCAATCTCTTATTTCGATATTTGTTTGTTTGTTTGGGTAACTCGATTCAATGAGAGAGACACTCAAACACACCTAAACAAAGAAAACGACAGAGAGAGAAAAGCTGAGGGCATGCGAGTGGGAGAAAAGAGCCATTAGAGTAAGTTACAACCAAGAGAGATTAGCTTAAAAAGTAAAAAGCAGAGAAATCGCTCACTAGTAAAATAAAATGATCAAAATCCATCCATGGGGGAAAACAATATGCAGGGGGAGAAAAGCAGTTAGACGATGATCATCGTTAAAAAAAATAAAAATAAACAAAAGGGGGTTAAGAAAACAAACCTTAGATCTTCAAAAGAAATTAAACGATAAACACGAGAGAGAAAGAGAGACTAGTCTCGTCTCCTCCATAATGATAAAATAAATAGGAAAGAGTTTCTGCTCTCTTCTTCTTCCTCGTTTTTTTCAACCCAAACTTTTAATTTTTATTTTATGTTTTAAGAAAAGAAGAAGACAAGTCGTCGTAGTAGTAGTAAAAAGCAGAGGATAGATAAGGGAGGGACACTGGGGGAAAGTTCTAGAGAGAGAAAGAACAAAAAAACATTGAAGAAGGAAGGGGAGAAAGAGTTTTTTTTTTTTTTTTTTGGTAGTGTTGTCTTCTTCTTCCTTCTCCTCTTTCCTTTGCTTTTTCTACAGTTTCCTTTTTTTTCTTTTCTTTTTTTATATACATATATACTCTCCGGGGTGAAAAGAAAAAGAGACACACGCAAGGGACTGTGGCACACTACTACAGGGCGGGTCCACATGAAAATAAAAAATAATAACGCAAGACATACCGTACGCTTCTTCTCCGTTTTTGGAACCCCGTCGTCACACACGTGTGGGGATGGATGATACGACGGTTCTGCGTGATCTCTTTCAACGGCGGTCATTACTTAATATTAATCCCTCTTTATTATATTATTAAGTCAGAGTTATTATATATGTAATTTGAGTAAATAATCTTTATTGTATAGTTGTGTTCATTCGGATACATGCAAAATTCACTCGGCCACTTTA